TACGGCCACACCCTCATCCAGCCTTTCATGTTCCGCCTGGACAGTCGGTACCAGCCCGTGAAGCTCAACTCCCGAGTTCCACTCAGCAGGGTCTTTTTTGCTACCTGGAGGGTAGTGCTGGAAGGTGAGCCCGACCTGGGCCAGCAGACAGTGGACTGGCAGCTGAGTGGGGTGAAGGTGGGCCTGGTGGCCAGGAGCCAGGGGCAGGAGATGTCGTCTTTCCATCTTTGGGGATCTGATCTGTCAACCAACCTCAGTTTATCAGACTACTTTGCCTCTCTTAATAAAGGGCAGGGTGGAGAGACCTTCTAGGGAGGGTTTCCTTTATTTTTTTTTCCCCAAAGATTTATTTATTTATGTATAGAAGAACTGGGGTGTAGGCCAGGGGTGTGGGGAATGGTGAGAGGATTCACCAGAGACAGAGTGAGGAGCAGAACAGACATTTTGACTGAAACACACTGCTGAGGGGAGCAGTGGGCAAGACAGGAGAGGTCTGCTGCTCCATGTGGGTCAGCTCCCTGGCCGGGGATGGAACTCAGGCTGTAGAGATGATAGAGCGGAGACTTACCCCTACACCACCAGGGAGGCCCAGACGGGGTTCGGTTCTGCCACATATACTGACTTGCAGTGACCAGGCAGCTAGGGGCTGGGTGCATCCAACCGTGCCATTCTCAATGGCATAATCCCCTGAGACTTCAATGCCCAGGTGAGGACTTGCCCGCCGGGCCACCTTGGCACCAGGAGCTGCATGTGCCCGGCCTTCTGTGCCTTTGCACCTCGGTCTTCTTCCTGATTCATACTGAGCTCTGCGCTAAGCCTCCCCTCCACCTTGCTCCTCTTGTCCCAGGTGGCATCGACCCCATTCTCCGGGGCCTCATGGCCACACCTGCCAAGCTGAATCGCCAGAACCAAATTGTGGTGGATGAGATCCGGGAGCGGTTGTTTCAGCAGGTCATGAGGATCGGGCTGGACCTGCCCGCTCTGAACTTGCAGCGCAGCCGGGACCATGGCCTCCCAGGTGAGGAGGCTGCAGGACACCCGCCACCCTCTAGCGCTAGCCCCTGCCCCAGCTGCAAGGCCCTCCCCCAGCCCAGCACCCTCCGCTTAGGAAGCAGTGTGAGGTCTGCCCTGCCCCCAGCCCTTCCTCCCCATCACTATACCCCTCAGACTTGGCGCGGCAGCACCATGACTCCAGTAGCCTTCTCCACTGATGTTCCCTCTCCTCTATCACTTTATCTTGCTTTACTTGAGGGGAAGAGAGTTTTATCTTTGTATCATCCATTTTCTGCTGAGGAAACAGAGATTCAGGACCTGTCTGGCTCTCCAGCCGAGACAGTGACAGAGCTGGAATTTAAACCCACATCAGCCTAACCCCAAAGCCTGTGCTGACATGCGACCGTTGAACCTTCCAGATGTGCTTTACTCCTAACAGGCCTGAGGTCTCCAGTGAGATGTCCCTGTTCTTCAGCCCGGCAGGAGTCATGGCCATTTCAGATTTGCCTTGGGGTGGGAAGGCAAGGGGGAGAGAGAATGTCTGAACAGGCCCAGCTCTGCTGGCTTAAGCCGAGGGTTCAGAGCTCCCAGGGGGCGATAGCCTGGGACAGGCCCTTCTGTGGCCCCCCTCTCATGCACCATGATCTGAGGCCTTGGTGTGCTGGGAGGTGGGCTTCTGGGCTCCACCACAGCCACTCTCCTGTCCTCTCCTGCAGGGTACAATGCTTGGAGGCGCTTCTGCGGGCTCCCACAGCCCAACACCGTGGGGGAGCTGGGCACCGTGCTGAAGAACCTGGACCTGGCCAGGAAGCTGATGGCGCAGTACGGCACACCCAACAACATCGACATCTGGATGGGCGGAGTGGCCGAGCCCCTGCAGCAGAAGGGCCGTGTGGGTCCGCTTCTCGCCTGCATCATCGGGACCCAGTTCAGGAAGCTGCGAGATGGAGATCGGTGAGGAGGCAGCCAGGTGGCCTGGGCCCACTGTGGCGGGGGCCGATTCTGAACTCAGGGCCCAACCTCCTCCTACAAGGTGAAGGGCTGAAGGGAGCGATGACTGTCCAGTGTGCTCCAGGAAGCCTCAAGGTCACCCCAATGTGCCCTCAATTTGTGGGGGAGGGGGTACAGAAAGGAGGCACCAGAACCCCTAGTTGTGGAGAGGGAAGACAGAGGAAAGGCCACTCTGCACTATTTCTTGGGGGTTTCAAGGTTCAATCACGGAGCTGTCTGTCACCCCTGGTCAGGACCGTCCTTATTCCTGTCCTTACTTACCTAGTGTCGTTTTGTTGTGAACCTGACCTACGTTAGTGTGTCTGGGTCAGGGCAAGCAGGCAGCTGAGCTTTTCCCTGCCAAGTGGGATCCCACTTGTTGACACCCCCGAGCTGCCTGGGAGCTGGGGCTCTCCTGTGCTGTAGAGCGGGGTCTGCTGGGATCCCCTAGCTCCTTCCAGGAGTGCCTCTGCTACAGTGACTGCGCTGTCCCCTGGCAGGTTTTGGTGGCAGAACAAAGGTGTGTTCAGCGAGGCGCAGAAGCAGGCCCTGGCCAACATCTCCTTGCCCCGCATCATCTGTGACAACACAGGCATCACCACCGTGTCCAAGAACAACATCTTCATGTCCAACACATTCCCACGGGACTTTGTCAACTGCAGTTCACTCCCGCTGCTGAATCTGGCCCCCTGGAGGGAGAAGGCCTAGAGCCTGGGTCAGGGGCTCAGTAGTGAGAGGCCGGGCCCACAATGGTCGCGCTCCCTTTCTGGATGATGGCTGGGAAAATAAATAACTAAGCACTCACGTGTGTGTGCATGCGCACAATGTAGGTAAATTGCATCTCATGTGTCGCCTGTGACCATTGGTGGCAGCGTTTGGGGGGCTGAGTAATTGTCATTTATGTGTGTTTGCTGCTTGCGTGAATATGAAGTACGCGGAGGGCAGCAGAGCAGACTGCTGAGAGCATGAGCCCCACATTCTGCTGCGGCAGCCGTGTGACCTTGGGCAACGACCAGCCTCACCAAGCGGAGCTTTTGTCTTTGCTAATACCAGCTGTCCTGGCTCCTGAGAAGGGCCCGTTTGCACTCTCTAGTTCTTCTTTATGGGGTGCTACATACTTGCTAGCACTGTGCTGGGCATGGGAAACAGAGAGACTCCATTTCTGCCTTTGTGGAAATGACACCTTGACAGTGGCCTGGTTAGCAGAGACAGACCGGTGACCCCGGGGGGAAGGGCAGGAACAGGTCAGCTGACTGAGTTTCGGCCTTAGGTGAGCCAAGCTCAGTCCGTGGCTCCCCTTTTTTTTCCTTCCCTTGTTCTCTTGCTTATTCACAGGAGAGAAGCTGGGGCCCGCTGGTCCTTCTCTAGTATCTGTTTGTAACTGATGTTTGATAATAAAGCACCTCTGACAGGATCTTCTCTTGAATCTGCGGTGGGACTGGGGTCTCAGCACGTGGCTTCCTCTGGGCTCTCAACTTGAACACTGGCCTGTGTCTTGGGGTCCAGTGTTTTCTGAAGTGACAGTTTCCAGGAATCCTCCCTTGGCTTTGAACACACAAAAATGGTTCTCAGAAGGCCGGGGCCAGGCTGAATGGAGCAGACCTTCCTGCGTCAAAAGAATTATGACCATCAAGCCCTTATGCTCTCACTACTGTGGCAAATGATTGGGTCTGTGCTGGGTGCGGGGAGGTTGGGGGGACAAAACCCCAGCCTGTGGGAAAGAGCAGAGGTGTAATAGCAAGGCAGACCCACCCAGGTGACGGGGCCTCGGGGCCCTGCCTCCCTGCAGCCTGGCAGAGTGGTCAGAGGCCCGCAAGAAGTCAGTGCCTTCTCCAACCTGGATCCACGTGGCCAAGTCCTCAGAGCAGGGACAGCAGATGGCTGGGCAGACGGAGGGCAAGGAGTAGATTTCCCTGATAATCATGCCTGGAGCAGCGTCACCCTTAGATCTGATGGGTGCTCCCTTTCCTTCCTTCTGTTCTTCCCCCATGTGAGGAGGGGCGCTGGCAGCTGGAAGCCTGAGGTGTGGCGGGTCTGGGGCTAATGTGCCCCTGGGCCCCTGGGAACACAGGACTCACTGTAGCAGGATGACAACATTCCTCTCCATTTCGCTGGTGAGGGAGGTGCTGGGAGGTGGGAGCACTCATCAGAGACCTCAGAGAAGTGGGTGCCAGAGGCTGGGTGCAAACCCGACCTCTGGCTCTTGCCCAGCCTGGAGTCCCATCCTCACCCAGCAGTCAGGGGATGCAGAGGCCCCAGCCTCACCACCTTACCTGGAGGGGCATTTCCTCTGTCCCTCCCTCTCCACAGGTCCTCTTTGATTTCCCAAAACACACACACAGACCGACCTGCTTTTCTCCCCCTCTCCCGACCACCTCTGCGTCTCCTTGTCCTTTTTTCCTTCCCCTCCCTTTTAACCTCAGCACCCTGAGGTGATTTGTTGATGTCTACTAGTTTTTTAAAGTGTTTTACATCGCCAGATTGTCTGATATGGGAATGGCCGATCCTTTTTATCGTTCCAGCTTTCTTTGCTGCACTTAATTCTTTCAAATTCCGTCTCTTGTTGACATGGCTGTATTTCTTCCTGCATTGTGGCTGTATAACATGGAGCATCATTTGAAGAGAACACATGACTATGTGTTAGGTAGAATATTCTGGAGCTGCCCCTTCAGAGGTCTCACGGGCCTCCAAGGGCTACCTGAGAAGAAGAGGGTAATTCCCAGCAGGCCCAGGAAGGAAGTTAACTTTAGCTGTTGGGCAATCCAGGCTTTTCCTCCCTATTTGATTCCTTGCTACAACAACAACCCTCTCTCTTGTCACTCCACAGCCATTGCTTCTTTTTCTAGCAGCCCCTCGCCTCCTTCTCTCTCTGAAATCCCACTAAACCAAGACCCATGCCCTATGGACTCCAGTGCATGAGATGAGACACATCTGAACGTGAGTTGCTTATTTGGCTGTGATCCCAAGACCAGCCTCTGGAAGGGGATAGTGTCACAGCCAGCATCTTTAGTCGGTCATTTATTGAGCACTTACTATGTGCCGAGCACCATGAGGGGTGCCATGGAGACACTGGGGACAGTCACAAGTACCGCTCAAGGAGCTTACAATCAAGTTGGAGAAGCAGAGGAAATGTAGGCTAGCAGAGGCCTCACCTCAGCCTCAGGTGAGACTTTTCAGGGAGACACTTGTCAGGCTAGACTGGAGGGGCCTCTCAGAGGGTCTACATCCTAGTAGAAGGAGCCCTACAGGCAGAGGGGTTGAGGAGTGGGCAGTGGGATGCAGAGGGAGATATGAAAGGCCCAGGCAGCTGGCCTGGGCTTGAGTGAGAGATACTTGTGGTGAGTGTAGACAGACATAGCTGAAGAGAAGGGCTGGGCTAGGATGTGGAGCAGTAAGGGACCACTGAACTCGCTTGAAATGACAATATGGACCAAAGGAAGCTCGACTGTGCAGTGTGGGAGGCTGTGAGGCCCAGGCTCCTAACTCTCCACTGAGGCCCAGGGTGAGAGGTCCAGCTGATCAATGACTGAGCAGTCCACAAAACCTTCAGGGTAGTTGTGGACCCGAAATGGGTCCAGTGGGACCTTGGTGATGTGGGTGTTGTCACAGACAAGGCGTGACAAGGACATCTTCCGCAGAGAGTCCCGCTGCTTCTCAGTGAAGACCCCAGGGTTCTCCCACCAGAACCTGCAAGGACACAAATAGGGTCTCATGCAACCCAGTGGTCAGTCTCCCCATTCAGTCAAGGGGGAGGAAGGAGGTCACAAAAATATGCTGAGTCCTCAAGATGTCGCAATGCCCACCTTGAGCCCTCCCCTAGTCTCCCCGGCCCTCCCCCACTCTCTCCTAACCTCCCCTGCCCTCCCCTGCCCTCTTCTGCCTTCCTCTGTCATCCCTGCCAAGCGTTCACTTGCCTGTCTCCATCACGGATCTTCTGGAACTGCTTTCCCAGGAGGCAGGCCAGGAGAGGCCCCACTCGACCCTGTTCTACCAGGGGCTCAGCAGTGCCCCCTATCCAGATGTCAATGTTTTCAGGGGTCCCGTAGAGATCCAGTAGTTTCTTAGCCAACGCCTTGTTCTTGAGCACCTCATCCAGCTCCTCCAGGGCCTTTGGCTGCGACAGGCCACAGAAGCCTCGCCAGGAGTTGTACCCTAGGTTGGAGTGCTGAAGTCTCTCATCCCACGGACTTCTCAGCATCCCCCTCCCCCTTGAGGACATGCCCACTACAGCTCCATCAGCCCAGAGAGTCGAATCATAGCCTCTGGGACAGGGAAGGCAGGGTCCATTACTTTAGAGTTTTGCACTTCAGTCTCCAGAGGGCTAATAGGTATGTGGTGCTAATATGTAAACTGAAAGACACACATGTTAAGAACGTCCCTAAGGTTATAGAACTCGAAATGGAACAGCTGGGATTTGATCTCAGCTGTCTGGCTCTTAACCACATTACATTGCTTGAAAGGAAGGTGCCAGAGTCATCAGTTTCGCTCTATTATGTCTTTCTTAATCTTTTCAAGACTTTTTAGCTGACTTTGCAAGTCAGTTGTTGATCTCTTGTCCTTTCATGGACAGTACCAGATGAGTCCTCTCCTCTGCATTGGGGGAATAGAAGATTCCATTTCACAGATGAGCAAAGTAATTTTTGAAAATGAGCATCCCTGCCTTCTGTGCTAGAATGGATCAGATCCTCAGGGTTACAGAAGAGAGTCTCCTGGGGCCCCAGAAAGGCACTAAATGATCCTGGGTCCACCAGCCCCCACCAGGCCCACTCACCAGGCATGCCGTGGTCCCGGCAGCGCTGTATGTTGATGGCAGCCAGGTCAAAGCCATGGATCCTGTGAGTGGGCTGGAAAAGCTTGTTGCGTACCTCTCCTGTCATCATTTTATCCTGTCTGATCAACTTGGACTTCTTGGCCAACAGGCCCCGGACCAGGGGGTCGATCCCACCTGCAAGGGAGGGGCAACCTTTTCATATGTTCCCCAGAAGCCAATCTGGGGGAAGGGAAAGAGAGGAGCTCTCCTCCTACCAGACATTTCTTGTTTTTTTGTTTGTTTGTTTGTTTGTTTTGTTTTTAAGATTTATTTATTTATGCCTACAAGAACCGGAGTACAGGCCAAAGGTTCAGGGGCAGGGGTGGTGAGAGGATTCACCAGAGACAGAGTGTGGAGCAGAACAAGCAGCAGGCAGGCCAAGAAAGGTCTGCTGTGCCCTGTGGGTCGGCTCCCTGGCCGGGTATCGAAGTTGTGCTGCAGTGGCATCGGATGCTTCATATTGCTGTGCTTTAACCTGCTGTGCCTCCACCAGACATTTCCACTCAGGTGAAAGTAGGGCCAAGAGAATTTCTCAGGTGGGAAAGAGGTGAGAAGAGTTTCCTGCAGTCTGCAGGGTGACAGTCCAGACTACCCGCTCTGGGGGTGGAAGCAAGGGCTGTTGAAGGCTGAGAGCACACATAAACTTCAGGGTTTTCCAAGCTCTAGTGTACAGAGTTGGCTCTTTTCCATTCATATGTCCCCCTAAGGCCCCCTAGAAGATTGCCCTGATTTTGTTAAGCCTTCAGTAAAGCCAGTCTCAGCCAGCCCAGCCCAGGGAGCTAGCTATTCCCCACTGTTGGCATTTAATGGAGATGGAAAGCGCTGGAGGAGCACAGAAAAGAGACAGTTATTCTCTAAAGCAATGATTTCCTTCAGAGAAATCAGAAAAGCCCAAAGTGGGGAAAAACCAAGTGCCCACAGGTCAGAGGAGGAAAGAAACAATAATCAGTATTTATTGGCCACCTCCAGTATGTTCAGAACCAGTGTAGGGGGCTCTATTAGTGCAGCTCACTTAATTTTTTTGCAAATCCTAGTGAGACAGGATTGTCTTATTGTCCCCATTTGACACATGAGGAAACTGAGGTTCAGGGGGTGCATTCACTTGCCTAAATGCACAGGGTGTGATTTCCAAGCCAGGTCCCCAGAAACAGGCTGAGAGTGAGCCAGCCATGTGGCAGGGTTCCCCTGAAAGGACATACCGTCTTTGACCATCCTCCAGGTATTGAAGAAGAGGGTGTGAATGGGGAGCTCTGGTTCCGGACCCCATGGTTGATAATTTTCATCCAGGCGGGACACAGTGGAGGGGATCTCCAAGTGGCCAAAGCGGAAGGCAAAGGTGAAGACGTTGGAAATCTGGGGGTCTACAGATTCATTGTAGCCTTGGTATGGAGGGATCCACTTCTGCATCTCATCACCTAGCACAATGGGTAAGTAGTCCCTAAAGGTGATAACCTGGAAGGAGAAACAAGTCACACCAATAGGTCGAGAAGACAAAAACCGCTGCAGAGTGAGGGTGGAGGGAAGTGCAGCTAAGAGGGATAAGCAATCAAAAATCAAGCTTGGCATCTAGACAGCCTGTGTGCCCAGGCTCCCCCCATGACCACAGCAGACATCACTAATTGATCCTGGCATTCTCCTGCTGAGCTCTCATGATTTGTCTCCTCACGGACAGGTTCGACTAATCACTCATTTGCATCTGACATCTGAGAGACACTCTCTTTGCCCTCTTGCTCTAAGTTTATGAACTTAAAGCTAAAGTGATAGTTCTGGGGTGCCACTTGAACATCACAATGTCATGTTCCTAAACTTTCCCCCACGGTCCAGGCAAAAGGAACAGTGAACTGCCAGAATAATAGCAGGGGAAGTTCATAAGAGAGGCTGCACCATGGAGAGATCATTTTCTACTTTTGTCTTACTCAAAGGAATGAATATAAATAGAAAAAATTTTGAAAAAATTTTTACTTCCTTCTAATAAGTTTTTATTCCTTCTAATCTGTCTCTAATGAACATATGATTACACAGTTGTAACCCTAGAGGATGCAAGCTTCTGCATTCTGCCTTTTCATTCACCAATTTGCACATTTTCCTTTGTTCACAATTACTGCGTAATTAAATGTGTATAATATTCTATTGTACTCATGGGTCCTTGCTACTGTTTTATTCTTAGGTTAGTTCTGCTTTGCTCCATGGTGCAGTCTGTGGGGTTGCCATCCTGGGAAATGGCAGCCTGCTCCCCAGGCTGAGGGATGCAGCAGGAGACAGACTCCACCTCTGACCACACTGGACTGGCCCAGCTGGCACCAGTCCAGGCTGGTTAATCAGATTCTCTCAGGGATTTTGATTTTAGATGCATTTATTCTAGGCCGTTTCAGATGGTGCTGGATCTGAGAGGACAGGTGGACTCACATGTGATCATTTCCACCATGTGCACAAAAGCATAGAAAACCCATCTGCAGAGGTGGGGGGGGGGCGGGCAGGAAATAATGGAGCAGTGGAGAGAAGAGCATGTGAGAGTGGGAGACAGAGCCAGTCGCAGGCTCCAATGTTTGCTGAGCCCCAACTACCCTGGTGTAGGAACAGGCTTGTTGCATTAGTGGAATACAACAGAAACCCAGACATGGGTTCACATAAGTATGCCCCCAAAATTTTTGACAAAGGAGCAGAATAAGGCAGTAGATGAAGGATGAAAACCCCATTAAGTAGTGCTGCAGCAGTTGGCCAAAAAATGAACTTCGATCCAAAACTATACAAGAAAAAACACACTGCACAGGAATAGAGTCCCCCACAAATCACAGACTTGCATGTAAAACAGAATAACGATAATACTTCTTGTAGGAAAAAAACAGATGGCAGGAATGTCAAATGGTATTGCTACTCTGGGAAATAGTTTGGCAGTTCCAAAAATGAACTTTCCACGTGACCTAGGGACTGCACTCGGGGATGTATAACCCAGAGGAACCTAGAGGTCTTTTCATGTAGTGAGTTATACATGAGGCCCTCCCTTGTGGCACAGCAGGTTAAATCGCAGCACTGAGAAGCTTAAGCCACTTCCGCATGGGTTGGATCCCCGCCTGCCCCGGAGCTGATCCACATGGCGCGGCAGACCTCTCCTGACCCGCCCACTGCTCCCCTCAGCAGTGTACTTCATCCATCTGCCTGCTCTGCTCCCCACTCTGTCTCTGGTGAATCCTCTCACCGCCCCTGAGCCTCTGCTTGTACCTCAGTTCTGTATGCACAAATAAATAAATCTTTAAAAAAAAAGTTATACGTGAGTGTTTCCAGCACCTTTATCCACTAGAGCCCTAAACTAGCCAAATTCCTTCAGTAGGTGAATGGTCAGACACACCGTGGAGTACTACTCAGTCACAAAAAGGAAGGAACTATTGACATATGCAACAGCTTGGCTGAACCACAAGGAAATTATGCTGAATGTAAAAAACTGGTCTCAAAAGGATACATAATGCATGATTTCATTTATGCATTGGGAAGTAATACAACTGTGCAGATAGAGAGCAGACTGGTAGCTGCCAGAGGCTTGGGGCTTTGGAGGGGAGGGTGGATAAGGCTATCAGAGGACAGAAGGAGAGCCTTATGCTGACAGTAGCTAAGTGTGTCTACCGTGGTTGCAGTTACCTGAAGCTACACATGTGGTGAAATTGCATAGACATGGCTCACACAGAGGCTGGCGTGTGGGTGACGTGTGCAGCTGGAGAAATCGGAATAGCTCTATGGCTTCTATCACAGTCAATTTCCTGTGTTGGCCATTGCGCCCTAACTATAAAATGTTGGCCCTGGGGGAGGCTGGTGCATGTCTGAATTTTTTTTTAACATCCTTAGAACCTGCAGTTATTTTTTGAAAAAGTGCTTAAAAAACAGGTGTGGTTAATAATAACATATCAACCTTTCTAAATTTCTTCTGATCAGCATCAGCAACTGATTACACCTTTGATTTAGGTGTCGTGAACTCACAAGGAGCCCATCAAAATAACACAATTAACTGCTCTGAGTCCGAGGAGTGACTGAGCTGTGTCCCAGGGGCGGCACTGAGGAACCAGTGAATGACTCTTCAACCCTCTGAATTCAGGGGTTCATTTTGAGGCAGAGGAGCTGAAGAAGCAAGAAGGAGCATTTTTAAAAAGATGATGGGAGAGAGGCAGCAGAGGAGAGGAAGGAGGAGGGCAGTGTGGGATGCAGAGGGCACAGCCAGGGTCAGAAGCCAGCCGGGCTCTGGGCCCCGCCACCTGCATAAAGGCCCCCAGGATCTTCCTGGCTTCCTGGTAGAGCTTCTCCCCGTCCCACTGAGGGTTGAGTTTCTTCAGCTCTCTGGCCAGCCGGTTGTGCTCCCGGAGCAGGAGGGTGTGAGAAACAGCCAACAGGATCTGCTCTGAAGCTCGGGAATCTCCTGAAAGCCCAGACACCAGGAAGGTGAGTCCCTTGGAGGTTCTTTGGGCCCAGTAATCTGCACAAAAAGTGATGGTGCCCCAAAGGGGCCCTCTCCCAACCCCTCCTCCCAGTTAATTTAAGGGAAGTCAGGCGGGGAGGAATCATGGTGGGATTGCGAGTTACTTAACTTCTCTGAGCCTCAGTCTCGTCTGTGAAAATGAGGATGACAAGGCCTTTCTCACAAGGCAGTGGGGAGACTAAACCGAACATTTATTAACTGCAACCCCAGTTGCCTTTGAAGAAGGGCCATGCACATAAATGAGGGACTTTTATTGTGTGGAGCAGCTGGGAAGGTTTAGGAATGCAGGGCTGGGTGGGAGGCCCGTAGGCAGAATTTCTGTGTGTAGAAGAAGGAGAGCGATGGGGCTATCAGGAGAGAGAGGAGAAAGGGGGGAGCTTCAGTTAAGTGGTAAGAGATGGGTGTTTCACGGAGCCTTCTTGTGTCCGCTAATTAGCAGGGAAGTTTGTAACATTCACATGTGATTGGTCTTGCTAGATATTTTAGCAGGAAACAGGAAAGCGCTGGGTTTTACTACTGGATTGATGTAGGCATGTGTGGACACAGGATGGTGAGAACTGCTGAGGATCTTGGCTGATGGACTAGCCTTCTGCCATGTGAGGGTGGGGCGGCTGCCCCAGGAGAGTGGATTTTTTTGGTGAAGGAAGGCCCCCACAAGCCAAAGTCCAGGGACCAGGAGGACATAAGCCTCTGAATAAACAGAAGTAGGGAGCTTGTTTATAGAGGGCATGGGGGGCTTTGTGGCAAGTTTCTAAAAGCCTTAAAAAAATACATGGCTTTAAATCTAGAACTTCCTCCTCTAGGGAGTTATCTTATTTAATTTATTAAGAATGAACACAATGATTAATCAATAGGGTGTTCATTGCCCCCACAAAAATAGCAAACCACAGGAAAACTAGAAATCACTTGCATGCCTCCTAAGAGGGTCAATGAAATAAATATAGTAATGTATGTCATGGAAAACCAGGCGGCCATTTAAGATTGAGGTAGAAGAAGAGTTAATGACATGTGATATGTTACGTGAAGGTTACAGAGGATTAACTGTAGTGTGGCCCCAATTATGTAAAAACAATGCAGAACTGTATCTATGATAGAAAAAGTACAGGAAAGACAAACACTCAAATGTTAACAATGATTAGATGTGGGTGGTGGGATTATGTGGATTTTCTTTGTGCTTTTCTGGACTTAATTACTTTTTTTTTTTTTTTTTTTTACAGTGAACACATGTTCTGAGATCCTGTATTCATCTGGGCCCTTCTGCCAGTCCTGGGCCAATGCCAGGGGCAGTGGGGGCTGGGTGTGCATTTCTCCAGAGATGGCAAAGAGGGAAAGTCATACAGCCTCCCTAGGAGCTTCCCAGCGGCCTCTGCCCAGTGGCCCGTGAAGTCTTTCTGGACTCCCTCTGCTCTCAGTCCCCAGCACGAACCCACTGCCTTTGCGGCCCCCATCCCCCCAGCCCCTGTTCCCAGACTAGACTCACCTGCCAGGAAGCAAGGCACTCGGGCAGTGCTGTTGATGAACTCGCAGGGACTCGGCTTCTGGCTGTGAAAGGGCAGGTAGGCCAGCCCGTGGTCAGAGAACTCCTGGTTGACGGCCAAGAGGCCCAGGGGGCTGCTGAGGTTGCGGAGGCGGCTGGCCAGGCTGGGGTCAGGCCCATACACTAAGCTGGCGTCCAGGAAGCAGGTCAGAGCATTGATCTGCTCTCGGACCAGGGACTGGTAAGGTGGCGTGGGGCAGACGAAGCCAGCTCGGAAGAAAGGCATGCACTTCCCTTGGGTCCGTACCTTGGTGTCACTGGGTGGGAGCTGCAGAGAGGCGGGAAAGGGTGACAGGGCGGGGAGGCACAGCTAAGCCCGGTAAACCTTCCCCAGGGTGGGTCTGGGTGCACAGGCAAGAATGTCAGGTGCCCTCTTGGAACACTCCAGAAGCCTCCTGCTGGTGCACTGCACCTTGGACCCAAGCCCTGACGTGTACAACACGCCATGTGTGAAAGGGCCGAGAGAAATCACACGAGCTTTCACAGACAGGGCTCCAAAGTTTCGGTGCAGAGGAAGTCCTGAGACCCCTGGGCAGGGAAGCAGGACACAGGCTAGGAAAGGGTTTCTTAATAGTTACTGGTACTAACAGTTGCCACTTGTTTATCTTGGACCTAACATGTGCCAGGCATAAAACCTTGTAAGACAGATAACTTCCTCCCACTTTTACAGAAAACTGCAACTCAGAAAGGTTAAGTGCGAGGCCAAGAACTTAAAAATGGGAGGGGAAAGAGGTGGGATTCAGATCCATATTGTCCTTCCTCCTTTAAACCTTTATACATAGCCTTTATACCCCCTGGTTTGTTATTTGAGTGAAGAAAGCACCCTCTCACTGTTAAATTGATGAAGAAGAAGAAAAGGTACATTACTGCCCCTCCCTCCCCTTCCTGTTGGACAAAGCCACAGATCCCTGCTACTCAAGCTAATTCACCCATCAGTTCCTTCTGGAAGTAGCTTTCCCAGGCTTCAAGACGACTTTGCTGGGTCCCAACACCTTTACCGCGGGATCCTGTTAAAATGTAGATTTGTTCTCCCAGAGTCTGGGAAGGGGCTTGAGATTGCATTTTGAATAAGCCCCTGGATGATGCCCATGCAGTTGGGCCAGGGCCTAAATGGCCTCCTCAGAGCTTCCTGATGTTGTCATTAGTGGTTCTTTGTCCCTTTCTCACACCACAGGCCCTTTGCCCTTGCAGGAGGAAACAGTGTCTTACTCACTTTTCACTCCCCAATTCTTAGAGAACTGGCTGCGTGAAACAGATTCCGTAACAGAGCTGAGCGTCTGGCTGGCCGGCCTCCTTTGAGGAGGCTAGAAAATCAGCATTCATGACCCACCAAGGGGCCCGGCTGGCAGCGTCCGCCACATCTGATGGTAAGGGTTTTGTCGGGGACAGACAACTCCGGGGACCTACCATAATGGGGAAACAGTTGCCTCCCTGGATACAGTCCTGGTCACACTGCGCTTTGGAGTACTCACTGCTCCCCAGCTCTGTGTCGGGGGCAAAGTCCAGGTCATGATCCAAGATTTGGCCCCACTGCATGAAGAACAGGGACCTGTCTTGATCCAGGACGCCCTCCTCAGTTAGGTAGCCGGCAATCTGGTTGGATACCTCGCGAGCCTAGGAGAGAGAGAAGGGGTGGGGGCTGGAGGGACGAGTGGTGAGGATTCGGATTCAGCTAGTGCAGTGAGTATGACTGTGTAACAGGCACTTTTGTTTAATGCCCACGGCAACCTTGTGAAGGTGGTGGCATGACCCCCCGCTTTGTAGATGAGGAGACTGAGTCCTAGAGAGAGATGAGGTCCAGTCTCCAAAGTCCCCTACAAAGGGGACAGGGCTGGGACTGAATATGGGTCTGTAGGACGAGGCCAGTGCCCTTCCCTCTACCGAGAGGGGAAACAGGCTGGCTCTCAAGACGGTGCCTTGGGGTGGGGGGGCAGGTGTCTGGGAAAGGCGGGGGGCTGGGGGGGGGCTGCCAACACGCGAGCAGCCAATAGGTGGGACCCCCAGGCCAGTACAGCCGACGCGCTCCAGGGGCTGGGGCGCGCCTGCGCAGGCCGGGGCAGGGCGGCCATCTGCCGGGGAGACCGCGCTAGCTGGCCGGGGCGGCGGGAGGTGAGCGCCGCGTAGCGGGCTCCGGACTCTGCTGCCCTCTGGCGGCGCTCGGGCAGGCAGGGCCGGGGGCGGGTCCAGAGCGCCCGCCCCCGCAGCCGCCCCACCCGACCGCACCCCACACCCGTTTCTTCGTCTTCTTTTCGGCCTGAATTTGGGGGGTGCATCTCCTCTCCTGTCACCGCCGTCCTGCCGGCTCGCCCTCACCAGCGGGAGAGGGAAGCCATTCCGCTTCTTCCCCGGCGTCCACCCGAAGGGCAGGGAGAGCCCGTCTTCGTACTCCGCAGGCAGCCAGCGCGCCAGCGCCCGGTTGGCGGCACCCAGGGCGGGGTTCCTCCTGCAACCGAGCACGACCCTCCCTTAGCTCCGGGGAGCGCTCTGGCCCTGGGGTGGCTTCTCTCAGACCCCATGGCGGCTGGAGGGACAGAGAACCTCTGCCCGAGGGAAAGGAGGTGCCGAAGCACCTCTCAAAATTGGGGGTCTGAACTACCTCCACCCCCTGAAGGCCCAGGGCTCTTCTGCTCCCCAAAAAGTGTTGCTTGCAAACAGTAGTCTCTTGGGTGGGTGGGTCGAGGAGGGTCCAGTGGAACAGATACTGGTGAGATGGAGTTCGGCCAGGCAGCACAGGCCGGTGGGCTGGGCAGGTGGGCTGGACGGGCAGGTGGGCTGGTCACCTGTTATTACAGTTTCCGGTAATGGTTCGGTAATTGCTATTCTTGTCGCATGCCACCAGAGGAACAAGGGTGCCACAACCCACTTCCCGGGAGAGTGCATTCAAGTCCAGGTTGGGGCCTGAAACAGAAGGGACCCCAAAGGGGGTGAGTTTATTCTGAGGCACTGATAGGGGAAGCAGGAATAGAAAACTCGGGGTAAAGGTATCGCTTTTTGGAATATATATGTATACATATTCCAAAAAAGAAATTCCAAGTAAGAATTTCTCAGGGGGTCTCACTTTAATCCTGACAACTCATTAAAGTATGCTCTTATTCCCATTTTACAGAGAAGATACTGAGCCCATAAAGGCTTGCCCAAGGTCATGCAGATAGAAACTGACACTGTTACCAGAAGTGTTAGTAATTCTTCTATCAGGTCATTGGAACCAACAGATCTTCCTTTTAGAATGAAACAGCTACTGAGAAATTAAAAGTGTGTTTTCATGACTTAGTTTGATAAGGTTGCTTTTTTTCTAAAGCTTCTTAAGATCTAAATACCAAGCACACAGGAATCTAGCTAGGAAAGATGTTGGGGAGGGACAGGTAATTTCAAAGTGACGCCCGGGCATGCATGGCCTTGGAGGAGCAACATAGTGTTGGGGGGGCCGAAGGGGGCAGGTGTGGGAAGGCTTCAGGCATCAGAGGCTTTGTCACCGGCACAGAAGAGAGCTTCCAACCCCTGACGCCTTCTTGAGTCTGTAGTGAAAGGGGGGCTTCTTTAGGGGGAGCCATCTGTGAAAGTCAGCAGGGGCTGGGATTTAGCCTCCAGCACCATTTGAATCTCAGAGTCCAAAGTGCTCCCTACTCTGTCCCGGCTTCCTTTCTCTGCAGCTTTGGCATCTGCTCAAGTCCCAGCACCCACTTGATGCTTTCCCAGGGATCACCTCAACCTTTCCCTCCAGTCAGGACCAAACTCTGCCATCCCTTAGCCTCCTGTCATGAAAAGATGTTGGGTAGGGTGGGGGTGGAGGGGCTGGAGAAGGTCACCGCCAATCTATCGGTCCATTGTTTCAGCTCTACAATACCCGGATGAGACAGAAATCTTGTCTGCTGTGGCATAATCCCAGCTAATCCCCTGACACAGGTGGTTTAATTGTCCCCTTCACAGGGTAGAGTGGTGACCCTGGAGTTTGGGGCGAGGAGTTCTTGGGTGTTGACTTTAGTACTTCCTCTGGAAAGAGGTCTTGCTGATGTGAGTATACAAAGAGCACAAGTGTCCCCTCCTTAGGACAATGTGACCTACTGGGTGTGAGTTTCTGCCTCTCAATCCCTCCTCCCTCCACAAGTCTACAGTTATGGGAGATACACGGGGATGAGATGCCTCGGGCACAGAACACGGATGCTCGTGCTCAGTCTGCTGGCTTGTGCTCTTTCCCCTGAAGACGCAGTCCCTTCCTGCTGCAGGGTTCTCTGTACCTGTGTCATTGGCCAAGGTTGCTTTTGGCCTTAGTCTCTTAAAGGAATCCTCCCACATCTGCCCGTGGCGAATGGCGGTGCGCGTGTGGCCTTTGGCGTGCTTGAGGTACTCTGAGAAGTGGCGAGTGGTGGGCGCCTCAGAGCTCATGGCGGTCTTCAGCCTGCAATGGAGAGCAATGGGGGGTCATGCCTGCGCCCCTTGAACTGCCACCTTGGACAAGGAAGAGTGACATGGTGAGGGGCACAGGGAGGAGTCACAGGGGTGTGGGTAGCTTACAGGAATTACCTGCTTTCGAGATCTTTAAAAACATTTTTTTCCCCCTGAGGCCTCTGAAAATTCTCTCCAGTGTGTTTCTAAGTTTGTTAGGACATGAAACTCCAGTGTGTTTTTAAGCTTGTTAGGACGTGAGCACTTCTGTATCAGAGTCTGAGAGTTGCAGCTGAGCTGGCTGTGTCAGAATCGGCTGGGGAATGCAAAAAAACGCCAACTCTCAGGGCATACTGATTCAGAGGAGGCCCAGCTTTGCGCTTCTAGGTATCTTTTTGGGCCTTTCTTTCTGCCCGTGAAGACGTCTTTCGTTAGATCTGGCCCTGGAGTTAGCGTGGAGTTTGTTTAGACGTGAGTTACAGCATCAATCCTTGCTGGCATTTTTTTGGGGCCAGGTGTTCAACCTTTTTATTCTTTAATTTCTCATGTATAAAGTGAGAAGTCTAAGCTAAGACATTTATGACAACACAGAGGTGACCGAGGGCAAAATCGTTAAAGTCCCTCCACGAGAACCGTCTACCTCCTCCCCCGCCTTGGTTTCTCCTTGTGTGAGATAAAGTGGGGTCTTGAGAGGACCTCCATGACTCCGAGACTCTGAAATATTGGAAGTGACTCAAATTATCACCAAATACAACCCCACTTTGGGGTACAATTCTGATCATCACTCCTGACCTGTCAGTTACTCTGTTTCGGTGCGAAGGGGCCGGAGTTCTCGGCCTGAGGCCCTACATGAGTGAGTGGGGCAGGCTTGACAGGGATGACTTGGTCTAATCTCCATGCCTCCTTATTTCCAACTTCCGTCAAAAAGAACCCAAGAGACTGTTTCGCTGCTGTCCAAGAGCTTGGTGGCCAGACTGCTGTGCTGTCTAGGATGGTAACGTGTGCTAGTTAAATGGAATTCATTAACATGAAATAAAATTGAGAATTTAGTTCCTCAGTAGCAGAGGTCAAATTTCAAGTGCTCGATAGCCACAGATTATTCATGAGTGGCGCTGTACAGACAACCCAGATGGTTCTGTTGGGCATCATGGACTTAGAGTTTGGGTCTGGAGTCAAGGCTGGAGTCCTGGTCTCTCCACCACTGCTCTGCTGACGTGGGCCATGAGCACCCTGGTTTCCTCTAAGAACGGGGAGTCATCGCAGTGCTTACAAGCATCGGACTTCGGGACACACTGGCGAGTTTCGTCCTGACTGCCGTTCACTAGCCGTCTGCCCATGGGCAAGTTACAGGGCCTCTCTGTGCTCTTATTCATAAATGCAGCTACTGATGGCATCCTTAGGGCCTCTTATTTGTCTTTTGCTGCTTCTGGACAATTTTATCTGGGAGAGGGAAGCTAAATTGACCAGTTTTTAACCTCCAAAACAATTCTTTCATATAGCTTGATTTAGTACCGCATAAGATTTTAGGGGAGAAAGGAACGTGAAGCTCTTGGAGCTCGACATGGCACAGAGCAAACATTAGCATCAGCCACTGGCGTCAGCAGCCGGGGCCTGAAGGGGCTGGTGCCATATGTCTGAGTTTCCCCCTCACTGGCCCTGAACAGGAGTGGGTTTCTGGGCCACCAGGGCTCCACCAGAAAGTTCCCACTCGAGGTTCTAGGTGCTCCTCCTTTTCTTCCTGCCCCTGCCCTGTGTACCTGCAAGGCTCTCCTGCCTCACGGCTCGCCAGAAACTTCCCTCCTACTTTGCCCAAGGCTGGGCTCCATGGGAGCAGGCGGGGCTTTGGAAGAACTCTTCTTCAATTTCCAGTCCTCCACCCTCCTCCTAGCCACTGTTCTCTCCCATCTGGATGGCTGAAGCAGCCTCCAAACTGGGCTTCCGCCTCCACGCCTCTGTTCTCCATCTGTTCTCCATGGGGCTGCTGGAGTGATCTTATTAGAACAAAGTTCAGACAAGCCACTCTCTGACTAAAGCACCTCGCTGGCTTAGCCTGGGATGGGCTCCATCTGCTCACTGCATTTCATGCTCAATATGTTGTACACCATTGTCTCTATCAAGTTCCAAGACATTCGCATCACTCCCAGAGGAGACCTCATCCTCTCTAAGCAGCCCCTTTCCCCCTCCCCCCACGCTGACCTGCTCCCTGTGGCCCTCCAGGCCCACCTCTGTCCTCACCTTATGTGCAGTCCTCCTTGTCTGGCCTTTTCTCTGTTTCCTGAACATGCAAAACTCTTCCCTGCTTTTGCCAGGATACCTAGAATGTCACCCACCCAGCTCTCTGCGTGGTTGGCTTGTGGAACAAGATGTTTCAGAGGGATTCTTTAGTCTCCATGAGGACTAACCAGTGGGTAAAGGCTGAAAACTAACCAGCTCCAGAGCAGGAGCTGGTACCACTTGCAAAGGAGGTGATGAACACTGATTCTTTGGTCTTTATCCCTGACCTAAGTCGGGCAGTGAAAGGATTGAACTTGAAGAGGGAGAGAGAATTTTCAGTTGGAGATAGTTGCTGAAATGCCAGGCATTTCTGTTCCTCCCCATTGCTTTAGTCTGATGACAGACTTAAGAGGAGGGTTCCATCATGTGTCCTGGAGTCTGGGCGAGCGGTTGGTAGCTGCCCAGAGAGCCTATAGGAAATAAGTGGTGGCTGACCCTGGGCACCTTGTGGCAGAGCTCACCAGACAGGGTAACGCTGGACCAGCTTCCCTCAGAAATCCCAGCCCTGATGCGCAGGTGCCTGGTGGCGCCTGTGGGATCCCTGCATGCTCCTGGCTGATTTCACAGGGGTAATGAGCGCCCCTAGCGACACTGGGTGCAGCTGCCAGAGGCACCACCTTGGGCTCCTTGGGCCATTGTTTCTGAACCACTGGAGCCACAGGGGTTACACACAGTGCTGCACTTTCCTTAACTCCAGCCTGCATCAAGTGTGGCTGATGTCTTAGGTACATCCAGCAAATGAAAGCTCTGCTCCCTTGCTCCACGAGGGCACAGGCTCTGAGGGGCACCTTCTGCTTCAGATGTCCAGGTGGGGACAGCTGAGGCTAGACCTTAAACTATATCCTTGCTTCACAGCCTCTTTTTTAAGATTTATTTATTTGTTCATACAGAACTGGGGTACAGGCCAGAGATGCGGAGGGTGAGAGGATTCACCAGAGACAGAGTGGGGA